CTTCAGCGTATCGCACAGTGTCGGAGCCAGCTGTACACATAGTCCCATTGAGCTTCGTGCTTTTGAGTGGAAGAGGATCTTCAATGGGAATGTAGCTTTAAGTCATTTTGAATCCAAAGAACTCACTATGGAGGAAAGGATGACTGGCAATATTGCTGGGAGGGGAATGAACGAGGAAGATAGACAATGAGACTTATTGGGGGTCTCCAAAGGTGGTCTGAGCGAGAGCACAGAGAGGTAGACTTCTATCCCACCCAACTCTTTCTGTCCTACTCCTACTACCAATAGTAACCCTCGGGCTACACCACATAGGAGAAGACAAGGAAAGGAAACAGTTACTGGCGAATGGTTTCTGTGTCATCAAATGGAAGCTGCTATAGGTGATTGGACACAACACTTGGTGAAACGACATGACACTTGCAAAATCCGTTGAATATTTCAAGAGCAATTGACATTTTCTTGACTTGGTGTCTCCTTTTGCCGTGTATCAAGTCCTTTCTCTTGGGCTACACTAGGGAGTAAAGGGCGCGCACAGGAACTTTCTGGTTAGAGGCAATACACGGTCGGTTGGGAATTGTTCGGCTGTCTGCGCACACACACACACTCCTGAAACAGGTTGTTCTGGACAGTTTCCTTTTTGTAGCCCATTTAGTGTAAGCCTCGGAGTCCCATTTGTTGCCTGTTCCTGTCTAGTGAAGTTGAACCTTGAATGAACATAATAATTTAGAACAAACTGAAAAAAAAATTTTCACTCTGTTTAAATTTACTGTGTGACTTAAAAAAAATTAAATTATTCTTTTTATATTGTAACCAACCAAAATATGAATAAAAACATGCAACCAATAAAAGTGCAAAAACCAAATGCAAGAAAACAAAACTACGCTGTCAAAAAAATGTGAGATGAAAAACCAATTACAAGAATGCACGCAACCATTCTGTGAAAAATAATAGAGAAGAAAGTGAAAAAACAAACGATGAAGAACAAAAGACCCACCTTTCTTTCAATTCGGGCCAAGAAGGGTTTATTAACACCCTCAGTGTGAAACTGAAAATGTAAAAATGTATGAATTCCTGATAGAAAACTACGTAGCTCACTTAGTGAACATGTTTTGATAGTTAAATGGTGAGATTAGCATCATAGGTTAGATGTTTGTTTGCACACAAACTTGACTAACCGAAGTAATTAACACTCTTTTAAGTTCTATGCCACTAAGATTTGCAGTGCTAACCTTTAAATCCCATTGACATTTTAGTACACTATCGAACTGAACACTATAAACAGAAGGAACATCATACTATATGTCTGGCAAGTCATGGATAGTCCTTCTATTTAAGAATCAAAAAGGGGATTTTCCGTAAGTTGATGGGCGACTGCAAAATAAATGACCAGTGATCAAAATTATCTTTGACCAACAAGTAAAATTACGTGATTCTAAGTCCGGCCATTTCATATATTTACTGCAACAAATGGGTTCAAGAGTATTAACTATGTATTTTTGTTTTATCAGAAAAAATGTTGTTCTTTTCTTATTACTACCATTGTTTCTTGGCCTCTAAGTTTATTAACCACCGAAATGTCTAGCAAAAGAACACAATCTGCATACTTTTCAATCATTTCTTTTGACTCCACAATTCTTAGAATCTATTTCATTGCTCTGCAATAGCTAGATTCCCAGCTACTAGTCTAAACACGTGATCTAGTAAGACAGAATGTTCCAATCTTAAGAAATGAGTTACCTCAAAAGAAAAAGTCGTGTGCTGTTCACAGTCTTTATACAAAAATGTTCCATCAATAAATTTTTAACCCATCCCCAACCTAACATATATGTTGTTAACAACAAAAATTGACATATTTTAAGTAAAAACAAAAATTTGTAGTGAATGAAAAAAGTGATTTTTTTTAGTTCAACGATCTTAAAAGTTATGGTGTAGAGATTTAGTAGTAAGAGGGGCAAGGGATTGGTGTTAGTTTTTCTTTTTTTATTTTAAAAATCAATGTTTTCCGTACACATCAAATGTCCTTGAAATAAAATCTCAAAAGCTCTTGCAAACTTGAAATTTTATGACCATACCACTGGCTCTAAGTGTATGGTGTCTTTTATGTTAAGTTTTAATAGGTCATAAGCCTCGAGTAAAACTATTAGAAAGAAAGACAGAACTTGCAGCTTAAGATAAACAAGCACCAAAATTACTTTTATTCTAAATTATCTTTCAAGTTAATATTGGAAGACATTTTAAATACCCTAAAGCCTTGAGAGAATTAATCAAACCCGCATGAACTTGAAACAAAAGTGGGTCATGTGAAAAAACAAGCAAAATAATTAAAAATACTTCTGCTAAAAACAACTTGATATTGTGTTGACAAATCAATTCATGTTTTGAAATTAAGTCTCTATAAAATACGCCCTTTATCTGGTTTTAGAATATACCTTGAAACTCACGTTTAGATTTAAGTAAAAGGGGTAGAAGAATTAAGGGTGTTAAATGGTTCTTATAATCTTCATTACCGGGTACTTTGTTTACAAAAATCTATTACTTACAATTGCCAAACAATTATTTATATTCAACCCATTGGGGAAGGAAATTATGCGCTGCATGCAGCACCCTCTGTCGGCAATTAATTTTACCAAATTTGTAGACTTTTACTCTAACTGCTATAGAAAGAAAACGTAACATAATAAATTAATAATTCTTTCACCATTTTGTTCACAGTAAAATTATCTACAGAAAAGTGGTAATTGGATGGTCAAAATGTAAAACTAAAAAAACTAAAATTAAAAAGATTATAAAAATAAAAATTTTAAAAACAACTTGTTGAAAGTAAACTTAATTTACAAATTCCAAGATTAATCCAGACACCAAATAACACTACTGTTATAAAGTTCAATTGATTCAAAGTTGTGTACTTTTATAAACAGCGTTTCATTGCGGCCCACTGATTTAAAGTAGTTCCTTCTCAGAAGTATGTTTCATCAAAACAACCAAACTGTTTTAACTCTTGTACTCAAATATATATTTCCAGTGCTTGATTTGTAAGAAAATAGGGGCTGTAGCCTATTTAATATGATTACTTATTAGTATTGTTATAACAATGATTAATAACCATCCAGAGGCTATTTCTCCAAATAAAATACTTTTTAGTAATTAGTACCTATTTATATTACTATAATAATGGTACAATACCTCGTCAAGTAATCCAAATGTTGATTGAGGTTGACAACCTACATGTTTCGTCGTAAATACGGAATGTGTGAATGCCGTATTTACAGCGAAACATGTAGGTTGTTAACCTCAATCAACATTAGGATTACTTGACGAGGTATTGTACCATTATTATAGTCATATAAAGTAATCCAGGGGCCATCAACATGCTATTTATATACCTATTTATGCCAATGTCTCTTTTCAAAAGGGAGGTACCGGAACGCCGCTCCGCCGGAAATCGAGCACTGTATATTTCCAACCATGATTTTATGACATGACAACAAAGTAAAAGCTTTCCAAGCAAGCTTACCCAGGAGATACAAGCGGAAATTTTTTTTTAACTTTTAGTAAAAGTTAAATTTCTATTATCTACTATGTACATTGATCACTTTTAATCAAGCTAAAAGGTCTACTGTACTACAAAAGCTATCAATCTACCTAAATATTTGTGTTAGAGGTGACATTGCTTTCTAATAAACAATTTTAGCTGTGTTTTGTATGACGTAAGGTCTTTTCAACTCATCCCAGATAAACTCTGTACTACTAATACCTTTTACTTACTACCATGGCACATTGTTGTCAATATATAAAATTTTTTGTTAGCCATGAAGAAGAAAGGCTGTTCTTTGTAAGTTCTCTAAATTTCTGTTTTGATTTTAAAGTTTTTTTTTCAGTGATTATTAAGTTTGGCATGTGTTAACGTACCACAGATTATGAAATATTTTAAGGTTATATTTATTATTTACAGTAATTATTCGCCCAAATACAAGTCAATACGTGATAATCCAAATTTCACTTCATTATATCTGTATGTCTTAAACAAAATTTATTTTAAAATTTTAATCAGGCAGTTTTAGTTGCTCAATCTTGATCCAACTTGCAAGTCCTAGACTTAGATTGACAAATCAAACTGACTTTTGAGAAAGATGATGGCCTGTGCTATATCAATAAAAGTAGCTTAGACAACTTGAAGACGAACTGAAACCAAAGGGCTTGAATTTGCTATAGTATACTAGTTTAAATCTACTATATTAAAATGAGTGATGATATCTTTAAATTTAAAAATTGAATAAAATGTTGGGACATTGGACCAAAGACCTGATTTATACAGGGTGACTACAAAAGATTGGTACAAATTCATTCTTAAGCTATACCGTTACTTTTCAAAATACAATGTTCTACCTGTGTTAAATTGTTGTTTCAGTCCCTTTTTCAACTTTAGTTTTACTCATTATTGCAGCCAGGTCTGTTCATCTGAACAGATATTGTAACATAAAATTACAATTGTTGACTTGACTAGCAGATACAATAATCAAGGTATGGCCAACAGACTTGTTTTCTTGACATCATCCATTTTTATGATTTCTTCCTATAGGGAACTCTTATAGGGTACTGAGAGAAGAAAAACACCTCAGTTGATGAACTAAGAGACAATTATGGAAGCCTTTCTCCAGCAATAAACAGAATGTCAAACATGATTTCAGGAAGTGGCATTCACTCGATATCCAGAAAAAATACTTCTATAGTTTTCCCCTTAGTTCATCTGAAAACTGAGATGTTTTAGTTTGATAGACAATGTCCTTTATTTACAATGTAAGAAAAAATTACAATGGATGATGTTGAATGAGAAAATCAGAATGTTGTACATTTGATCTAAAAGTAAAAAAAATATAATTTTACGTCACAATATTTATCAGACGAAAAAACATGGTAACAATAATGAGTGAAATTGAAACTAAACTTAATGTAACTGATACGACCAACCCAAGTAGAACATTCAACATTGAAAAGAATCAGTACGTAATGTAGTATGGAACAATACTAATGTTTTGTGGACACCCTGTACATCCACAGCAACATTCTGCAATGCAGTGTCACCTCTAGAGATGACCTCTAAGGTCCAACCTGTAGCAGATGTGGAGGAAGACTTGTCAGATTGTTGCCGGAGATGTCCAGGAGTTGCAGAGATGCCTCTAGACCGGAGAAGGCAGAGGGAGAAATCTCCTGCAGACCACAGTCCACCATGTACAGCTCTCGGATACGGGCGTCTCGGAAAGCATCAGTCTGAAGAATCAAGTGAGCGAGATATTAAAAGTGCAAATAGATTATTTTTACTTTTAAAAAATCTTTTTAATTTATCAATTCTCTTGTAGTTGGCTTTCCACACATGGATTTAGTCCGGAAAACAGCTGTTTACTGCCTGCTGAGTCAAATGGGATGTCAATACAGTACTGTAAAAAATTTTTACCAGACACCAGTTGATAATTGTTTTTTTGTTTTTTTTTTCTTTTTATTGGACATCTTTTATATTTTATAAACATAAATAATAATCAATGTAACAAAATTCCCATTAAACATACTAATTCCAAAGATATACTGTAATTACAAAAAAATTTGATAGTTACCAAGTTTATATTCTGAAGGTAGTGAGCGGTTATAAATAAAAACATAACCTCTAAAAGGTTATGACTAGTGAGTTCCAAGCCCACATTGGGAAGATCAGATTGTGTTATTTTTTACATTTTTAGGTTATTTTAAAATAGTATGGTAAAAAATATCTTACATCACTCGTCTAAAATGTGTTTACCATACTCCTGTCGTAATCATCCCACACTTTACTTTGTCTCATCCGGGAACGAAATAGGACAAAACAGTCCAAAGACCTTCAACAGCATTTTTACCGCAAAAGAATTGTCAAAAATAACCAAGTACAAGTCTTGATCCTTGGTATCGAACATCCCACCTGCACGAGAGCAAGAGGGTTGCCATTGAGGAAGGTCTGGTTGAGGATGTTGAAATGCTGGAAGGCCCCAGGAGGGAGATACTGTATGTTGTTGTAGTCAAGATGCAGAGTATCCAGGGAGAGTTGACTGCCAGCATGTTCAGGTTCCGAGCTGCCAGTGGAGTGTAGTTGGGTTATCATGTTGTAGCTGAGGTCCAAGTGCCGCAGAAGTCTGAACAACATCGGTCAGTTTAATAGCCTGAGAGAAGGAAATGGAGATGGGAAGGGCGCACCTTGCAAAAAGGAAATGGAGATGTGGCAAAGGAGGCATTGGAATGAAACCGTGCAGGAAGCAGGAGATAGGGTAGACCTAAAATTATATGGAAAAATACACTGCTAGAAGAAATAAAGAAGGACAAAACATTGGAAGACATCAAGAAAGATGCACCCCCGCATCCCCAACAACGCCCCCCCCCCCTCGGGTGGGGTGCCGAGGTCCGACTTCACCGACCACCGCAATTGCAAAAAAAGGTGACGATGTTTCCATGAGCGCAGGAGACAAAGGTGTTGTTTTCAAGACTAAAGAATATATTCATAATTTTGCCACAATCGCGGAAAAAGATGACGTTTCCGAGACCATGGGAGACGTTGTCTATGTAAGCGCAGGATATGTTGAAGATTTTGTCACAATCCCGGGAAACGATGACAATGTTTCCATGACCAGTGAAGGCGATGACAAAACGTCTGCGAGAGTTTTTGGATTTTGTCACGACCACGGTTTTTGCTGAGATACACAAATCAAAATAAGTGGTGATGTTTAAGTAGGGGGGGGGGGGGCTATCCACATGTACTGCAGGGGGGGGGTGCTGCTCATTGTGCTTACGCCACTGGTTAGGAGGAACAGTATAGGCCCAATGTTTCAGAAGGAGTCAACGGAATCATAGATCAAACATACTCCCTGTTTAATCTATGACGGAATTAAATCAGTCATGTCAGTTAGGTAGCACAAAGATTTACAATCATGCTTTCCAAAATAGTAACCTATCACTGTGTTAACATAACAAGATATGCAAACCCTTAATCTATCGTCATCTACCGTCTCGTGGCTTATGAGACAACACTGTTGATTACTTGGCACGTGATAGACCTATACATTAGTGGTATACCCAACTCCCTAGTAGAGTAGGCCCACTAAGTTTGTGTCCCCATAGATGCAGCTCTTCTTAGTTACAGTTTTCAGTTTTCATGATGCTTGCATAAATAGTTGTAAGTGAAGGTCCTTTTTTGTCACTATAGCCATGGACAAGGTATGGCAACCCAAAGGGTTGGTTATGTCCACAGCTGGGTATTGTCCACTGATGTGGTAAAACTGACTGAGTTAACACTAAAGGGATTGCGGAGCCCAATTAGACGAGTAATTTTCATAACAAATATGCTTACGACAATGCAATATCGTGGTTTCACTACAAATTTCTGTTAATTTGATAAATTTCACGCAAATAATTTTATTTCTATAAGGCCCGGCCACCACGCAGGTGGAAAATACTTGGCTTAGGACACAGACCATTGGTCCAACCCAGTGGTAAGCCGATATATCCCAAAGGACTAACAGGGGTGACCAGATTGTGCTAGACTCACTTGAGGGAAGAGACCTGGCGGTAGGGGACGTGGCGCATCTGGTTGTCTGCAAGGATCAGTCTGATCAATCTAGGAGGCCCACCAGCAAACACCGTCGGGTCAAAGTCCATGATGGCGTTGCCTCGCAAGTCTAGAGTCTCTAGGTTCTGCAACGTAGAGAACACGGAGCCAGGCAAGTGTGCGATTGCATTCTCTGCGAGGTTCAGGTTCTGCAACGATTCCTCCAGACCTCTCCAACTCTCCGGGTTGATCTCTGAGATCTCGTTGCCTGGAATCATACGTAAAGATTAACTCCAGAGGTGAAATATTTTAAAATTTTGTTTTATTTTGACCTATGATAAACCACTCATATGTTTGGCAATACAAAAGCTCTAGAAGGTATGAAGAAGCCCTGCTTGCCCACCATCCGAAATGGGAAATTATAACGACAGAAAAGTAATTGTGCACCTATAATACATATGTGCTCTCCTTTCAAACAAATATGTAACAATCCAGCACTAATTCCCCCTGTTAAGAATGCCAGGTTATAGCTATAGGGTTATTAAAAAGGAAAAACCCGAGTTGGTTTTTCATGGCTATACAATCTGGCGATGTTAAAGAATTTGTTGTTTTGCAATAAAAGTCTTTTTCAACTATCTTTATAATCATGTATAACAAAAGGTTTTATTAGGTTTAATTTATTAAGTATAGTTTTTTTTTCTGTGGTAACCTTTTTCAATCCCTCGGTAATATAACAAATCTTTGATTAATTAATATTTTAAGCCTCCCTGATAGTCTCTAGATTGACCACTTGTGACGCAAAATTCTAGGGGGGGAATAAACTAGTATTCACCTAAGTCAGGCTAGGCCTACCCTAGAATCGGCCACACTCAAATTTCTTCCCCGGAGTGCTCAGAAGGAGCCGAGAAAAATCCAGGGGTCGATACGAAGTTGTCACGGCTTTGACTGATCAATTTATTTAAATTTAATCGAAGGCTCAGAGCTCTAGAAGCGCTCAGGAAATCCTGCAGACGCCCAGTTGGAGCTATATCATCCCAGCCTTCGTAAAAGTGTTTTGGAGAATTTTGCCTAACTTTTAGAATGACTCTGTAGGGCCGACGAGTATTCAATCTGAAGCCAATGTGATTCAATTGCTCGTAATGAACTTTAAAATAATTAGCTAAAGGCCTAGGTAAATAATATAAGATCGAATATAATGTAAAACCCAATCCCTACAGAGTCGTCGGGGCCTAATTAATATAATTGGACGGATAATTTAATGTGAGTGGTTTAAAATAAATTTAATACTGATTTTCGTAGCTGATTGTTCAAATCAGCCTGCTCCCAAGACTCGATTCTTTCACCCGCCAAAGACGGGGTTTAGAACTTAGACGACAAGTCTCGGGGTATTAAAACGACGTAAAACGGGAATAACTTAAGTAATAATTTAATCGTGAAACGAACTGAATTAACGTAATTTAATAGCCAATTGGTTTAAAAGAGCCGAAAAATATCCACCGCTAGTCACTGGCAGGCAGGAACTGGCGGGTTTTGTACGAGTCGGCAAGAACTAAGTTAATAAAATTTAGAAAGTTATAATCGAACGTAAACGGATAAAATAAATGGCAGACGAGTATGCGTATGTTAGAAAAAGAATATTTAAAAGAAAGTAGGAAAGTCTGAAAACGTAGCTAACCTGAATCGATATCGTATGGCGAAGTTACTTTCGTTGTGCGAAGAGGCTTCTCGTTAACGAGTCGACAGTCGAACAGCGAATAATTCTTGTCCGGCTCAAATCCCGATTTCCTCGGCCGCGGCTCAAGCGCTGCGGTGGCGATTTCGGAAACTAGCCAACAGCTGATCGGGGATTCGCCTGTTGAGCCGGTCTAGTTGTCGTCTGTCGTTGGTCAACAAACACCATTTTGAGGTTAAGTGATGTTGTAATCGGCGTTAAATATTCGTAAAATCGGTCGTTTTAACTTTATTATGTGAAACGGAGTGCTATTATGAATAAATATATCGTTGTGGGTGTGTTTGTGTACTTCACTGTTATTAAAAGTAGGCCTACGTTCTTTGGCCCATAGCCCAAGCTAGGGCCAACACATAGGCCTAGGATTAGGATGTTGTGGATAAAAATCGGGTAAGTTATGGTGTTTGTTGACTAGCAATACGTTTTTACCCCCCTTAAAATTTGGTACCTCACACACTTCAACAGTCCCTATGTAACATGCTGTTGGATGATTTGGAATTATACTATCAGATGTTACAAGTTTGAAGTTTGCACCAACCTACATTAAAAAAATGTACAGTGGAACCCAGTACCGTGGTTACAAGTGGGCCCAGGGGCGCAAGAGTTTTTTGTTTTGTTAGGGGCGTAAGCAACAGACATTATTTGGATATTATCTGCAATAGCGCGACAGTAGAATCCTCCTCACTTCGGTTCCTACTCATGACTCATTACTGCCACTGTTTCAATATTATCAATGACTATAATACTCTGTCTTTATTTGTAGGCTCATATATTTTATGTTGTTTTCATTAAGACAGGCGCACAAAGGCGATTTTGAGTCTAGCATCAGTCGCCCAGTTAATAGGGGGACTGTTGAGCAACTCACTCGAAAGTCGAAGCTCTAAAATCTAGCGACAGTTGCGCAGGAGTGCGCACATAGGCAACTATTTAGACGCAAATTGGACATTACAATAAATTTAAATACTTACTTACTTACTTTCCGTGTCCGGAAATCAGACTTCGCTTTTCCAAAAATTAGCTACCGATTGTCTCTCGATATTAATCGAGATCGTTACTAATGGCCTTGAAAAAGACCGTTTAGGCAGATTCATTTTTCGAAGTCGTCCGGTTGTAGAAGGATTTGCCGCTAACATGTCAGCGTTGCCTGGGGTGTGCCCGATTGTGATGTCATTCATAGCATGTAATGGTCACAATCTTCGGGGAGGCTACTTCTGTGCACCCCATAGATTTAAATGATACAACTATATAGTATGTACTCAGTTTCTAAGTGTGCGTGTCTAGGAGTGACACAGCGACTTTTACATGATCTGTGCCTAAAAGTGGCACAGCGACACTAGTCATATGTCTGCGCGTCTAGATTTGTTTCAATAGATACCGAGCCTGGAGCGACAGTCCGGCAACAATTGAGTAGCGGAGCTGTCTCTGGCAAATTGGGTCCGGGAACAACAGCTGCAACAGTTGCGTCACTGTCCCTCGAATGTTTCCTTGGTGTGCGCACTCAAATTTGCGGCAAAAAACTTTTGGACAGTAAAAAAGTGTTATACCTCTATTGGGCCCATAGTGCATTACCTTCTAACCACTTGCTTGGTGGAACCTTGTTAATAAGGCACCCTTGATAAGAAGTGTATAATTTTCAAATTCTCATGAATTTATTTTACTCCAATCACATGTTACAGCAAACCTCAATAAGAAATCAACCTTGATAACATTCTTATTCAATAATCCCCATGGAGAGACTTTTTATCGAGGTTCTATTGTGGATGTGCTTTCTGCAAAAAGTGGAGAATGTACAAGATAGAAAGATAAGATATAACCTAAAGACAGGATTAAAGACCTGTTTAAAGACAGGATTAAACACTTTTTGGTTAACAGCCCTATTTATAACACTTGTGAATTTTTTGATCTGGACTATTCATTATTGTAGACCATTGCTGACTGTGTAGCCATTTTATGTAAATGTACCTTGTAATTTATGCATGTATGTGATGCATGATGCAGACGTAATTTATTAATTTATTTATTTCTTGTATGCTACTTGACTTTTATTGATGTGTGCGTTTTTGCAACATTTTGTAATTATTTTTTTTTTTGTGACGAGACTGATAGCATGTAATTGTTGAATGGTCAATAAATTCTTGATTCTTGATTCTTGATTCTTGATTCCTACTACTACACAGGAAACTACTAACCTTTGAGGTTAAGGACCCGCAGTTTCTGCAGGTGGCGGAAAGCTCGGCTCGGCACAGATCTGAGGTAGCCATCGGTCAACTCTAGTTCCCACAGGGATCTCTCTAGTCCGATGAATGCCTCGTCAGGAATGTGATGGATAGGATTACGACTCACCTCCAGTCGGTAAAGGCCTAGAAAAGATAAGTGTTTGTTAACTTAGCCTACTTCAAACTTCATCCATCAATATAAATGATAACCATTTAACTTACTTAACAGTTATTCCTGAGGAACCAGTATGCCTAATCTGTGTGATGGGCTTACTGTCTGTTTCTGTCCCCTTTACAACTGGAATGCAAGTTTCTACAAGGAAAGTAAGGATGTAAAGCAATTGCAGAAACTATACAGTAGCTAAATTGACACAACTAAGTTAGCCTATGTTGATTGATCTGTTTCTGTGCGAATCACCAGTGTAGCAATTGTCTGAAAATAAATGTCAATCATGTAATTCTTCCAAGTTATTTTATTTTATTCATTGCTTTTGACAATCATCATTGCATTGTGATTGTGTAGCATAATGTTTAATAAAAGAAGCTTATCAAACATATCAAATGACAATGTATCCTTTCTCCAAAAACACAAATACACTTGCTCATATTGTAGGAACTTAACTGTAGGTAATAGGTAAGTGAATAGGTACCTAATCAATAATATTAATGACTGTCATATTTTCACAAATTATGAAAATGAAGTTGGAAAGCCTTACTGATGTAGTAGGTATAGTTGGTTGAACATTGAACCTACTCCAAAAAATTGATAGCCTACTGTATAAACATTAAACATGGCATCTACAAGAAGGGTGTGATTTGTGAACTGGAAGCTTTATAGTAACCTCAGTCAGTCTTGTGTTATTTACCTTGATCTTATCTTTGCTTGTATCTAAGAATAGCATGACCTAGCAGACCAAAGAGCAAACAAACCAAATAGGTAATGTACAGTACCCAATCAAAATGATGGATATGTGGTGTTGATAAAACTTACGATAAATAAAAATAAGCAAGGCCTAGACATGCATGTAGAAGGAAAAAACTAGACGACAGCAGAAAACACGGAACACAGTAGTTGCACTACGCAACGCAACAAAAGATGCAGTAGTTTTGATATAAACAGTACAAGTCACAACGTGAACTTTTCAAGCGTGAACCGGTGAACCTGTGCGCTGAACCGCTGATAGCGAGTGGTGTGGAATGGGAGGCGGGAGCGGCAGCGGAGCGGTGCGTTCCTATGTAGAGTGGAAGGGGGGGCGGCGGCACGGCGCCTTGACTGGGATGGGGATGGCGACCAGCTGAAATTGTAAACAAACTTTGCTGTGCTGCTAACTATGCTATTAGGGCTCTCAGTGTTTTCTACTCCGTTGCAATTTATATTGATTGCTATTGTAAAATTATTGTTTGTTTATTACGTTATGCAGTTTTGAAATTACTTAATTGACGTTCCTTATGACGTTTGGCTCATTAAAAACTTTTACAAACTGTATAAAACAAAACAAATTTTCTGCAACCAGAAATTTGCCGCCCCTCAACCCTGCCACCCGGGGCAACCGCCCCCTCTGCCCCCCCCCCTTGTTCCGGCCCTGGCCTAGACTTAGGACTATTATAGTATTTAATATAAAACAGGCTTGCTACAAGCATTTTACCTCATTTCAAACACTGTCCAATAACTAATGATATTAGTTATGTAATAGTTAATTAGTAATGTAATAGTTAATTAGTGATGTAATTCTAAAAAATTTGTGGTGTTAGATAAACTTAGTTAAGTTTAACATAAATAAATATTAGTAAAAAAGGTCTAAACCTAGCATTGAAAATAAAACAGGCATACATACATGCATTTACCTCAAAACAAGTCGCACGAAATACTGTAGTGTTGAAATAAAAGTGATAATATAAAGTTTATTAGTAGCCACGCTCGAGCCCAGGTAAGGACATCGATATGTTTGTATGATCGATATATCGATTATGTATGATCGAATTGATATATCGATTTGTATTCTGTATGTCGATATATCGATAGGTGATAATTAGTCCAGGAAGTCGAAACCCCCCGGAGAGTGCTGCAATTCTACAGCCCTTGATAAATATGCTAACTATTAGGCTAGCAACACACCCTCACTTATATACGTTTCTTCTGCTAAGCTGCTCATTAGGTTTGATAACCCATTAAGCGCAATTAGAAGAGACATTGAGGGTATATATTGGCGTTTAGGGGGCTAGTAGGGTATTTATGGGTTAGCTACCTCTTTCTCAGTGCGAGTGTCAACTGACTCATTGGCTTCTTACTCGACTAACATGACTTTAAATCGAAAAGCGTACATGATTTAAAATAAACAGATTGTTTTTGTTTTAGTTAAGTTTGCTTGTTTTTCATTAAACAACTAAATTATTTATTAATTAAATCAAACACAGTGGTTTGAGGAGTTAACAAGAGAGAGACACCTAGCGGTGAAGAGGCGAACTGTTTGAAGCCTCGAGAGCTGCAGCATAGCGGTTGTATGTTACATCTAGCAGTGTTAAGCCGACCGTCTGCAGGTTTGCTGTGACGGGTGTTTTTAAGAGGTAAACGTGCATTATTTATCAAGATTTTGTCAATAAACTGTAGATTATTTGATTGTTATAAAATTTTTATCATCTTTGTTGCATCTATGATAAAATGTAATCTAGATTACGAACCATTTAATTGTGCCGGTAACAAGCCCGGGACCGACCCAATTTGTCATCAACTTGTGAAACTTTGACCTTTGATTTAATGTTAACTTACTATAAGAGTACTTACTGCCATCATTGGATATATAAAATCAAATCCAACATTAAAACGCGTTCATGTACTTGAAGGACAACTATTGATAATAGTGACAATATATCATTCTCTTGTCCATAGCCAACAAAGAAAAATCTTACTCGAATCTTAAAATTACAGCAAAGGGCATTAAGAACAATGATGGGACTAAAAAATGATGAATGTGTTAAAAATTCATTTAAAAAATTTTAAAATGCTAACTGTCTTTGCCCAATACATTTTTGAAACTTCTCTCATTGCGAGAGAAAGTATGCCAGGTAACGCACAATTATGCTACAATACAAGAGGAAAAGCCCTAAGAGAAAATAGTCCCAACCATCTTTTATTTTCAAATAAAAAGCCCACCTGTGCCGGAAGAAGGTTTTTACGTTTTCTTCCAAATCATTTAAAACCCATTGGCAACATCAAATTTAAAAACAAATTTAAAAATCATCTTATTGAAATCGCTCCTTACTCCATTTAAGAGGTGTAACCTCATTGTAGCTCAATTAACCTGATCTTAATCGTTGTTTCTTAGTATGTATAAATTGTAATTTTAGCTTATAACTGTATTTACTAGGTTATGAATTTGACACTATTCAATGTACAATGTACAATTATTGAATAAAGATATTGAAATGAAATGAAATTATGTATTATATCTAAAGAATTTGTCGCAGATTAAGTTGTTACCACCTGATTAAACAATACTAATGTACCTGTTGCTCGAATTCGAGCAATTGCAATGTATCACAGCTGTTATTTTAAAACAAATAACAGTCATAATTTCTGATTACTTTAAAAGATTCGACTCAAAGAATGTGGAAATACTCAAGATGTACATAACAGATCGATATTTTATCAACATTTCTTGTAAATATATTTTCATTTTTCAAAATCTGATCTTGTTTGTTTAGTGTTTTCTACAAATAGACTTACTCATAGCAGTATTAGGTTGTCCATAATAACGATTATAAATTAAAAAAAAAACACATTATTGTGGTGTTCTATGACTTCCCCATGTTTCTATAGTTTGCAAATTGGCTCTTTCAGTGATTACTAAGAAATGCAGCACAGTATTAATTCAGTTTTCTTTTTTGTATATCAAATTATCCAGGCTCATTCGCTTTTTTCCATTGTATTATTTAAGTTGCGCCAACCCAAATTCAAATACTGTAGTAAATATTTCATTTCAACCAAGTGAGTAAATTTTTGTAGCAAACTGTTAAATTAGCAAACTTATTGACTGTTTACAATCAACATATATGTTCTTCTTCTCACTTTTAATTTCTGACAACAGCTGGAGTTTCATTACAATGTTTGTGTCCCATGTTAATCTTATGGAGAAATGAGAAACTTTAAAAATTATAGTTATTTGTGCAACTAGTGAGCAAAGTGAGGCAATTGTACTTTGAACTCTAGTTGCACATTATACTTTTCCTACAGTTACCATAAAACAAATAAATTTGTGAAGAAACATAACCTATTTTTACACAAAAGTGAACTTTTAATACAACATTTAATGTGAAGTGACAAATACAACAGTACAACAGCTGACCAGCTGATTTACAGTCAGTGCTGCCAACGTATTTCGCGCGCATACAACGTTGCCTGCATGTTACGCGCTCACTATTTCGTGCCTTCACGTTGCAAATCTGGAGTGAGACAAAGTAATTAGAGTGAGACAATGTTAACATTGTCTCACTGATGAGCGAATTGGCCACTTTGCTTTCTCAAATCAGTGAGAGAACATGTACATTGTTAGGTAACTGTAGGAAAAAATATTTAAATCAAGTATGACATATTGATACCCCTGGAATCGGTAGCTCAAACAGTTTTGTTTACATTAATTGAAACAGCTGTATTGATTGTTGTGCTAATCTACAACCTTCTTATTCTTTTAAATAAACTTCAATTTGTACTTTCTTATAACATGTTTTCCGTCAAGAAAAGGCTTAGTGTGTAACTTATTGAACTCGAGTCAATGACTCTAGTATAACGGTCATTTAGAATGTCAAAAACATAGTTTATTCTTTAAAAATTCGAAATATAGCCCATCTACTAGCAAACAAAAACCGAGATACAGTATCCATTGTAACAAGAGTAATGCTGCACTTGTGAGATGAAATATATTATCGTCTGGACGTTTTTAGAGCAAGAAATGGTTGTAATGTTGAAGTTTATTAGCTATGTAAACAATATTTTTGATGTCAGGAATTCGACAAATTAAATAGTTTTTTTGTACCTGGGTTCGTTTTATTTTTATTTCATAACTATACCCACCATTATTTTATGAAAACCCTGTATAATGTATAGTGTATTCTTAGTCAACTGACTAGACTTATAATCGAAATACCCC